TATAGAAATATATTTTATTATTTTTATAAATTAATTTATTATAATTAAAATAGTATTATAAATAATATTTTTATATTTACTCGCTAATAAGTCGATAATAAAGTCTATAGAAATTTTCTTTTATAGCTTAATAGTAATAAGAAGCGAACTTAATTCGCTATAAAGGCGATATCGCGAAGTCTTAATTTACTAATAAACGTTATATATCTTAATATAATTAATAATTTACTTTAAGCTTTTATCTTAATAGTATTTATAAATAAATAACTTATATATCTTTATAGCGTTAAAGTATTTAAATAATAAATTATTATAATATTTACTAATAAGCTCTTCTTTTAAAGTTTTATCTCTAGAAATATAAAGATAATTATTATATCTTAATAGTTTTTTAAAGTTTAAGATTTATACTTAATTATATATACGATATTTAATTACTAGTTTATTAATATTAATTTAAAAAAAGTTTATTTAATTATTATAGACTTATAGATCTTAAATTAATCTTTTTATTAATCTTTAAAATACGTTATAAGTAATCTCTTATATAATCTTAAGCTCTCTTTTAAAAATAATTATTTAAATATTAATAATACGAAATATAAGCGTTATCGTCGCTATAATCTTTTTATCTCTTTATAATTATTTATCGCTAATTTAAAATATAAGTTTATTTTATAATATTAATAGTAGTTTAGTATTTAATAGCGAAGTTTTTTTATAGTTAGAGCGTCGCGATAGCGGGTTAATAGAGTTTAATTTATCTATTTAATAAAAAATCTTAAAGTTATAAGTAGTTAACTTTAGCGTTTAATAAGTTTATCTAAAGTTTAATTTCTTCTATTTTATAAAGTCTTTAAGATTATTATAGTTTATTAAAATTTTAATATAAAATATATTATCTTTTAGATAGTAATATTATTATTTTATAAATATTATAATAATAAATAGCTCTTAGTTATAGATCTTATAGTTTTATTTTATAGAAATTATTTTTCTAAATTAGAATATTATTAATTATTAATAGCTATTCTTATTTAATTATAAAAATATAATTTTTATATCGAAGTTAAAAGCGTTAATTTTAAAATATAGCTTTAAATTTAAATTATAGTAGTGTAAAAATAATATAATTATAAAAATATTTTAAAACTACTAGAATATTAGCTTAGCGTTATCTATTTACTCTAATAATTTAAATTTCTTATTATTTTTATTTTCTTTAAATAAATTAATAAGTAGTATTATTATATTAAAATAATTATAGATAAATTATTAATAGAAATTAATAAAGTTTAAAAAGATTTATATATTTTAATAATTTTTTAATTTTAGTTACTTCTTAATAATAGCGATATATTTTTAATTTATCGCGATATTTTTAATAAATATAATAAATTCTAGAAACTTAACTCGTTTAATATAGAATTAATACTTTTTAAAATTTATATATAGTTAAAATTAATATAAACGCTTAAATATTTATTTAATATATCGCTAATATTTCGCTAAATCTATATTATAAATTAAAATATTATTTAAATATATTATATATATTATATTTATTAAATCTATAAAAGCTTTATTAATATATATTTAAAAAGTTATTAAGATATTAATAAGCTTAAAAGATATAATTAGATATTTAAAATAATTATAATAATTACGAAATATTATTTTTTATTTATTATCTTCTTTAATTTAGATTTAATAGTAGATATTTTTAAGATCTAGCTTTATAAAGATCTTAAATTTATATAAGCGATTTAAAGTCTTAATAATTAGAGATAGCGAATATCGATTTTTAATAGTTATCGTATTTAGACCTTAATAATTAATATAAAATTAAAGTTTTTTATTCTTTTTAAAAATAAAAAAAATTAATATTTCGATTAAGAAAGTTAAGTAATAAATTTAATTTTTTTAAAGAAAGTTCTTTAGATAGCGTTATAGTTTTACTAATTTTATTTAAGATAGATTATATAAGAGATTATATAACGACTTTTTATCGCTTTTAATCTTAATAATATAATCTCTCTATTTAAATATAAATAAGATCTCTACTTTTTTATTAGAAAAAATATTATTAAATTTTAATAACTTTTAAAAAAGCTTTAGACTACGTTTATTTTTTAATTCGCTTCGCGCTATTACGATATATATAATTATAAATATATTTAATTTTTATTTAATAATTTAAATAAATTTAGTTAATTCTTTAATCTATAATTTATTAATATTAATTTTAAATTATTATTACTTCGCTATTAAATTTAATAATATTTATAATTAATTTAATTTAAATATATCTAATATAATATTAAAGTCTTTTTAATTAATAATATAGAAGAGTATATTATATTTTTAATTTTAATTTTAGTTATCTATTAATTAATAGTTTAATTAATATATACTATAGTAATATATATTTTAATTATTTAGCGCTTTCGATTATAATAAGATAATATTATAAGATTTTCAATTTTATTAAATTACGAACTTTTATAAAATTAAATTAATATATACTCTAATATTAAATAGAGTAATAAGTTATCTTTATTTACTCTAAAGCTTTATCTATCTCTTTATAAAAATAGAAAAAATTATCTCTATTAATTATTATTCTTATCTCGCTTTTAAGATAATTATAAGATTTAATCTTTTTTTATTAATATTATATTAATATTAATTATAGATAATTTATTAAGATTTAAATATTTAGATATTTAATAATCTTATTTATTATAATAAAAATAATTATTCTTTTTATAATTAGAGTTAAAAGATTCGACTTTATATTTTATATTATTCTCTTAAATATACGCTACTTTAATATTATTATTTAAAATTAATTTAGACTTCGAAATTCGCTTTTTTAAGAGCCTATTTTTAGTAAATCTTCTTAAAAACTTTAAATAGAAATAGTCGCTAAAGTATACGCGTTTTAAAAAAAGTTTCTATATAATAATTTAGATAAGATTTTTTTTTATTATCTCGATATACTATTAATATTTAGAATTTTATTTTTAAACTTTAATTTAAATTTAGCTAAAAAGAAATTAGTTTAATACTTTTTAGAAAATAAAGATAAATAAATCTTTAGCTTCTTTAGATAGATCTTAAAAATAAATATCTTTTAATTAAAGCGATATTTAGCTTTTTTTTATTTTTTATAGATAAAAAGATAGTAATTTATTAGATTTATAATTAAATTAAATAGAAATTACTTAAAGAATTTAAAGATTATATTTTTTAGATTATAGATTTAATAATATCTATATTATTAGATATTAAAATTATTTTTTAAGAATTATATATAATAAATAATTCTAACTTAATCGATAATAAAATATTTAGAATTTATAAGAAATTTAATTTCGACTTCGCGGAATTAGCGTAGATACTCTCTTTTATTAATATTTTTATAAAAATATATTCTTTTAAAGTAAAGTATTTTCGTTTTAATTAATATATTCGCTAGAGATATAATAGTAATTAATATAAATAAGTTTTCGCTAATTATAGACGATAAGCTAGTATTATAAAGCTCGCGATTATAGGCCTTTAACGTAATTAATTCTTATTCTTATTTTAAATAATAGTTTTTAACTCTAATAATTATAAGATATTATTTTATAATAAGATTTTTTATTAATAAGAAATTTTTAAATTAATTATTAGCGCTATAGCGACTATTAATATTATCTTTATTATTTATTATATAATTTAGAGATAAACTTAATATAATAATAATAATAAGTCTTTTTCTTTAAAAAATAAAGAGATTAAAATTATAAAGACGTAGTTTATTAGTAGTTAATTAGCGAATATAGACTATAAAAGATATAGAGTTATTATAGAATTTAATAATATATTTAATAGTAAAATTAATTTCTAAGAAATATTAAAACTTCGAGGTATACGAAATAAACTTATATTCGCTAAGTTTCTAGATATATAAAATATATTATTAAAATTAAACTCTAAAAGAAACTTTAATATAATATATACGATATTAAAGTCTTAACGTAAGTAACGCTAAGGCCTATAATAGCATTAGATCTAATATTATATTTTTATTCTAAATGCTTATAAAGTATAAAATATATATGAAATATATAGAGATTATTTCACATTTCTGAAAACTTAAGATAGAATAAGTTTTCATTTAAAATATACGCTATAGGTGGGCTATATCGCTAGATCTAAGGCTATAATTATTATAAATAGTTATATATATTATAACTATAATCGATAACGAAAGTTAGAAGCTACTATTATTACTATTTTAACTACTATATAATACTATTCGTATTATTTTAATAAGACTCCGCAACGTACTTCTATTCTTTCTAGTCATATATATATACAGTCGCTTCTTATAGTAGACTATCCATATTGAAGACTGATAGATATCTACTATACGAATTTTGCTGCGAAGAAAGATCTTGGCAACTTTTTAGCGTTTAGCTAAATCAGCCAAAATGTGACTACCAAATGAAACCGTATATAATCTGTATATATTGAAAATCTACTAGCCTCGTTTTGAAGCCTACATTTTTGAAATTAGTGTGGTTGAGTTGAAATGTATGAAAATGTGGATTTTAGGTGGTAGCCAAACGGGCCCTAAGGTACTGAGACTAAGAAAAGCTGTGGTTTGACATCAGGAAAACTTGAACTGTCAAAACCCTGGAATTTTAACCTCGGATCTTAGAGTCAATGTCTGTAAGCCAATGTATCATAGTTTCAGAGATTCGATCGCCACAGCTTCGAACCGGAAGCGTGTATACCAAAGTATTGAGTGGTTGCGGTAGGAGAAGGGAGCGTGCCTCTCGCTCTTGAACATTCCAAACTTTTAGCTCGATATACCCCACTCCATAGCTCCACGATAACAACATCATTACTCCAACCCCAGCCCCTCAAAAACCACCCTGGACGTAACATAAGCAATTCAGATGATCCGCCCAACTCTTTCCATTCTCGGGACATCTTCAATATAAATGCTTCAGTCCAACGGCCATAAGTATCTAGCGGCCATATCCCCCTACTCTAACATCTTCAAACAACCCCACATACCAGCCTCCTCCACAATAACCGGCGCCGTCTACCTCTTCCGGCATGGTATCCTCGAGGTTTCCCACCATGATTACAGCGCCTACATAGCCCCATTCCTTAAGAAGCTACAAGGGCTGCAGGAGCAGGGAAGGCCGTTCGTGCGGGGCAACTTGGCTTTTCTTAGTAACTATCGGAGCTGGATTACAGCAGCGCATGTGGGTACGGTATCGAAGGCCGGCCTGCAGCAGAGCCATGATCTGGGGACTGCTTTTCGAATACGATATAAGCAGTGGTTGACGCCGCCGTTGGGGGAGTCCGGGGAGAATCCTACGTTGTCCGTGTGGACTGATGAGGCGGCACGTTGCCATCAGTCTGCGGTTGCTTTTGCGGACGCTTTCTCTGGTATGAGCTTCCATAACTAAACATGCTATATCTTTATCATCCTGGCTCATCTGAAATCCAGGGAAGTTGAATGAAGCGTCTAAACATTCCGGAGGCAGCCTTCAGCAAGTAGATACCAAGGTCAAAGTGCTAGCCGCCGAGAAGGATAGCAAAAGCTGTGACAATATTTGCTGGCACAACACCTTCCAGGTGGACCAGCAAGTGGGTGGTGAGCAAATGAAGCAGCTCATGGATGTGACCACCTACGCCTCTCTTGCGCGCCTTGAGAATGACTGGCTAGACCCAATCACCATGCCCTTGACCGCCCAAGATATCTATTGCATGCAGCTTCTCCACTGTTACGATGTCGTCTCTGGGAGAGAGTCCCCCTTTAATCATTGCTTTGATGCCGAAGACTGGGCCGGCTTCGAGTACTTACGAGACACGAAATACCATTTCAGCGAAGGTTATGGCGCAAAGAATAGCGGCCTGTATTCCGTTCCTTGGATGAATGCTGCCGTGAGGGTTCTTTCTGGGCTAGACGGTCAAACAGGTGCAAGTCTACCCCTTCGGGTTGGCTTTACGCACCGCGAGGAGGTTCTCTATCTCTGCTGCTTATTGGGCATCTGTTATGAGAAAGATTGGCAGCCGAGCCTGAAAAGGGTCGATGCGGACCGCCAGTGGCGCGTCTCGCTTCTAGCACCCTATCTAGGGCACGTGGGAATAGAGACGTATGTTGGCAGTTCTAAGCAGGAGCGTCTGAGGATTATCGTAAATGGCGAGGTGAGGCCGGCGTTTTTCGGTAATGTAGAGCCAGATGAAGATGGAGGATACGACATGAGCGAGGTCGATGCATGGACCCAGCGGAAAGTTCAGGAGTGGGAGAAGTTTGAGGGGGGTGCCTTGAAATTCTTGGATGAAGAGTGAAGAAATGACTGCATTCGAATAAAAAACATCACCCTGGAACGCTTATGTCAACATTCGACATCAGGTTTTATTCAGTCAGCTATCTGTCGTACTGGTATAAAATTCGGCAAGACAGGTTTCAAGCAATCGGATGGTTGGCAGAGTTGAACATATCAGGCAGTCGATCGTTATGGACAAACCACTACAACGAAGTGACCCTGTCACTCAAACCCCCTAGCGGTGCCTTCAAGACACTCCCACTCACACCAATCCACGCATTTCGGGCGAATGGCAATTCGCCCATTCATTCTGCTATCAATCCTCGATCTAATATCGGCAGTAACCATTCCAAACCACCATTTCCGTCCCGTCACCTTTGCACGCACGCACCAACAGCCAGCTGCCACGGCAGCACCCCAGAGGTTCTACCGTCCCCCAGAATCACATATTGGCGCGATCACGCACCGTTTTACGGAAGTGGACATCGCGCATGCCCAACTCCATACGGCCACTAACGATCGCTACGTAGCGACTCCAAACCCCAGGCGCACGATTCGGGCCCCACCCACGAGACCTAAAAGGCGACTGGGTTAGCACTGGTAGCGTTTCAAACCGGCCTGGTTGTCCTTTACGCTCGGTTGCATCCAATATATCACCCAGCAAGCGACGCGGAGGAGGGGTTTGGGGAACGGTATTCTGAGATGACGGTCTCCTCTGCTCACTGTGTCACTGGTAAAACGCGTAGCTAGGGGCTCGCGCCCTGCGTCGATTGTGGAACGGGAAGGAAGAGTGGCGGGGATGGTGGGAGAGGATCCGCGAAGAAAGCATGTGGGTGCATGCTGCCGGATTGGGGTTCTTGATGGATCCGGGGTGGGAGGTCACGGCAGTTGGCGGGAGGCGAGTTCTAGGAAATGGTCCCAGTAGGCTGGGAGGGCATTTAGAGGTATAGATGGAATGAGAAGCTTGCGTCAAGGAGTATCAAGCCCCTGCGTGACCCATGGAGCCCAAGAGACGGCCGTTTTGACTTGGAGTGTGGAGTGTTCGTTATGCTGCTGGGGAGGGTTGGTTTACTGTTCTGTGATTTTGATCGAGATACATGTAGCGTCAAGGGGATGTGGAAGGAAGATCGGTTACTATTCCTTTAGTTCTGCTCTAAAGTAGGTAGACACGAGTGGGATTGATTTATGACACTAGTGAAATTTTTCGTGAAACTGGTCTCTTTATTTGCAAATGTCGAGCGATAGCTACTGCATCTTTTCGGAAATGCTCACGCACACCCCAATATCTCCTCTCGCTCGATCGACTGGAAATGCTCACGCAAGCACAGCTTCTCGCACTGGCAGATTCGCCTCATCCTCGTACTCGATCTCCATCCGCGGCTTTGTCTTGCGAGCAGATTGGGGGGCCTTTCCACGTTTTCTCTTCGCACCTGTCGCAGGCTTCTTCATCTCCTTCTCGTCCTCGTCTTCGCTGCCGCTCTCTTCTTCGCTGTCACCATCTTCCTCATCATTGCCTGTTTCTTCCCCACTACCCAGCCAGTCTTCGAAATCTTCCAATTCCACATCCTCCTCCTCATCGATGTCGCTCACATACTCCACTTGTCCCACACCCTCTTCCTCTAATTCCTCCTCTTCTTCGAGTTCTTCCTCGTCTTCTATTCCCTGGTCAAGATCTTTGTCCCTTTCGCCATCACCGCCTCTTTCCAGGCCCTTTAGTACTTTCTTCCACACTCCCTCCTCAACATTTAGAGGTCGCTCTCCATATGCCCCACTCCTCAATCGCTCGATCAATTCTCGCTCAATCGCCCTCTCTACCTTCGCTGCCGCTTCCGCTTTCCTCTCCCGGGTCGCTTCCCTCCTTCGAACTTTGGGGGCAAGTTTCGGCACCACTTTCTCCCCCAATATCTCTTCTTCTTGTGCAAGGCGGCGTGAGCGAATCGCAACCTGTGTCAGGCGAGTCAAACGCTGCTTGCATTTATGAATGAGGAATTTAGGCCAGTAGATGAGACGAGCGTCGATCTGTTCGAGGGCTTTGCCGTAGTTCTGAGACAACTTGATCTTCTCCCATAGCTTCGAGGGCATGTGTTGCCGCTCGATGGTTTTCATGTAGAGGTAGATGGTACCGGTTTCGGGATTGCTGCGGACGGTGGCATAACGTGAGTTGGCGAGAGGACAGGATTGACGGTTGCAGAGGCCAGTGACGTTGTATTCGTTGCGGCAGAAATTTTGTTGTTTGGGTGTTCTGGTAGTAGGAGTGATGTTAGCTGTAGTCACTGGTGTGGTATATAGGACAAGACAGGGAGGGGAGCGTACTTCAGCTTGAACGAACAGAATTGTTGATTTATAATTTGCCAGACAATCTCATCGGAGGCCATAGTAGAGAGATCCCGCAGACTATACGCACTGTAGGCTGTAGAGGCACAAACAAACACAAATATCGGCAAGAGGCTGAGAAAAGAAGTGAAATTTCGTGCCAAATTCTACCGCAGTTTTGCCGCCGGCAACATTGCCAAGACTCTTGTCGATCCGCTAGTGGCTCGACTTGGGCGTCGGGCGTCACTGTCAAAAATGCATTATACACTCCAAGTTAAGTAGGGAATGAAGGCTCTTTGTCAGCCACTTCACACTCTTATATCACTCCGAACTTCGTTCTCTTTCCTAATAAAATTTGAACCACAATCTCGAGCACAGATATCCAGAGTTCGAGCATACTCATCTAGGCCAGGTCCTTTTTGGAGTGTCAGGAGGAAGTATGACACACTCCAAGCATGGCATCGAACGGAAGTGAGGAGAAGCTCCAATCTCATCAAAAATGATGAACCCACTATATACGCCTTGTCGACTGCTCCAGGACGAGCAGCCATAGCAATTATCAGGATATCTGGTCCAGCTTGCTTGATTGTTTATAAAGCACTTTGCCCACACAAACTGCCACCAAAGCCCCGTGTCGCCACACTGAGGACTCTATTTGAGCCTTCAGTGACTTCGGTAGACAGCCGACATGAACAAGTCCTAGACTCAAATGCGTTAGTCTTTTACTTCCCTGCACCACACACAGCAACGGGCGAAGAAAGCCTCGAACTCCATGTACATGGTGGAACAGCAGTGGTAAAGGCCGTGTTAGCTGCCATACCTAAGACCGTCCCACAGCATGCTCCTCAGATTATTCGATATGCCGAGCCTGGAGAATTCACACGCCGAGCGTTCTACAACAATAGACTCGATCTCCTGCAAATCGAAGCACTTGGGGATACCTTGGCAGCAGACACAGAGCAACAACGCCGGCTAGCAGTTCGAGGCTCAACAAACGTCCTTGCAGAACGCTATGAGGCATGGAGACAGAAGCTGCTGTATGCCAGAGGAGAGCTAGAGGCTTTGATTGATTTTTCCGAAGATCAGCATTTTGATGAATCGCCTGCAAAGCTGTGCGCATCGGTTGCGAAACAGGTCCGACAACTGAAATCACAATTGCAAGCGAACATCGAAAGTGCATCTCGAGGAGAGTTACTGCGAAATGGCATCAACATAGCCCTCATTGGAGCACCGAATGCTGGAAAAAGCTCTCTCCTCAACCAGATCGTGGGCCGAGAAGCAGCCATTGTGAGCAGCGAAGCAGGTACAACAAGAGATGTAGTGGATGTCAATGTCGATATTGGAGGCTTTTACTGTCGATTCGGTGACCTTGCTGGGCTTCGGCAGCAGACGCAGACTTCTGACACTGAGCAAGTCGGAGATGTAGAAAAAGAAGGTATCAGAAGGGCTAAAGAAAGAGCACTCAAGGCAGACGTCGTCATCGTCGTGCTTTCTGCAGAGGTAGTGAAGAGCTCAGCAAACTCGAAAATCAACGTCTCGATAGGTTCCGAGGTCCAGAAGGTGTTGAACCAGATCGATCTAGGCTCACAGAAGGTCGTTTGCGTTCTAAACAAAGCAGACTTATTCGCCAGCAATGCTCATCTCTCGAATACACGATCAAAGTTCCGACGACATCAGGCACTCAGAGATTTCTTTGACCTATCTGAAACCCCACTCTTCGCAATCTCTTGTACCAATACTCAAATGTCCAATATCGATGACAAATCTGATCCAAGTGGCATTCGGGCTTTTCTTAACGGCTTGACCCAACTCTTTGGCAGGATGACCACTGCGGCTGTCCCCATAGAAAAATTCGGGACGGGCAATCACTCGGCTTGGGCCGAATCACTTGGTGCCACGGAACGACAACGGTTACTGCTGCTACAGTGTCTTCAGCACCTGGAGAACTTTTTAGCCAAAGTTCAAGATAATGACCAGAACGAAAGTATAATTACTGATCACGGGGATGATGTCGATGTGGTCCTCGCAGCGGAGAGCTTACGCTTTGCCGCTGACTGTCTAGCAAAAATCATTGGAAGGGGCGAATCTGGCGATGTCGAAGAGGTGCTGGGGGTGGTCTTCGAAAAGTAATAGAAGACTATTACCTTTAAGCAGTGCCAATATGCTGACGGCCAACAATAGATTCTGCGTGGGCAAATAACCATTAAGCATCTCTCTTGTTGTAGAGGGACTTGCAAGCAAACACCTGCCACGAAATTGGCGCCTTCGTCTTATACGACTCGCTCTCGTCAACCCTTTCTATATAAATACTCCAAAGTTGGAGACATTTCGTGTTCTTGAGAGACCTTCTTGTCGTATATATTGCGGTCTTGTCAAAAAATGTGGCATTCTTGAGTGTTGGTCTCTTCCAATGCTTGCGCAGTCAGGGATCTCAACCCGAAGTTGTTTGCTGTTGATTTTTGGAAAAGACTGCTGGCAGATTGTGTGACAGAAACTATATTCTGTCTCACTGTTAAGGCTGCCGATAGGTTGAGGAACTATGTCTTCGATGTTGCCATTTTGCCTGGTAGAGATCTTGATGTTGCGCCGAGGGTAGTGCGGCTGTCAACTCTTGTGTTGTGCACCGTCTTGGCTTAGTCCTTCGGTGCCAAGAATTTCCGCATCTTTGGCCTCAACAGCCTACCTCTCAGCATTTGTTGTGCTTGCTTGCGTTACAGAAAATATCGCTGGTTCGCATTCCCTCTTCTTTGCAGGGCCACCAGTTTCCAGAAGTCTCGGAGACTTATCACGACCAGTATGGACAACCTACCAGTGGAGGTGCGTATCTATGGAGCTCTCTTTTCTTACCCAATGCTTGCTCGCAACTCAGGCTTCGGAATCAGACCACTATTCGTACATGTCTCGCAAATGGGCGTCTCTGCACCAGTTCTATCCCCAGTAGTGGGAACTCTTACTTAACGACATCATGCTGACTCTCATGTCCTCTATAGCTAGTGCTCGAGATCGTGGAGTCCTGCCCACGAAACGACCTCCCCAGTCTTTGCCTTACCGCGAGATTCTTGTACGCCATCGGCAACCCGATCCTTTACAAGCACGTCGATCTCAGCATCCACAACCGCGGCCAGGTCATGATCCGGCCAACGGACGGCTTTTCTCAGTCTTCCGACAGCTACTGGTGTACACAGGTATGGAGATCCTTCTAATTCTCATCTAATTCCCCAAAATTACGTCATACAAATGTGGGCTGCGTGGCACATTTTTCGAAACAGAAGCCCTGCCACTCCTTGAACCTATCATATAATCCTGGTGTATGGCCCAAAGATCTTGCTGACTCCTTTCGCTTCTCTAGGTACCAGCAGGGTCGCTCTTAAGGCAGGAGAGTTTTATTGCAGCAGTCTTGGGGAATCCGGGGCTGGCTACGCTGGTGAAATCCTTCACTTGGACTCTGCTGCGACCACACACCAAAGAGCTCATTCGAAATCCTCTGTTGGGAATTACTCCACCTGGAGCCATTTCAAGACGTGCCATCTTGCGTATCTGGGATGCCTTTCACCGTCTGACAGGTGTCGAAACTTTAGACCTTGCATGGTTGTCCAGAGATCATGGCGATCCGCTTGCCGATGGCTACTCCAACGGACTATTTCCTGCGGCCATCTCCATTCGGCTCTCGGGTGTCATGCACTACTCCTTCGCAGCCTCGATCCTCTACAACAATCCTGCGAAGCTCGAACACCTTGAGCTTGACAATCTACAACAGGTGGGAAAAGGTTGCGATCATTTCCTTTACCGCCGAACCAATCACCGACAAGACTATCAGCAAAGACCTTCCGTTTGGAACAGCGAAATCCGTCGGTACGGAAGCCTCCTCCCTTTCGGTTCTGCCGGTCCAATGCAGAATCTCCTGGGACCTCTCATCGGCCGCTGCCCAAATTTGAGAGCGTTGACATTGCGTAAAGTCGGGCAGAGGTACCACACAGAATTCCCCATAGAATCCCAAGCCAAGGACGAAGACTTATACCACGAGTTTGCCCTCTTCATCAATTCGGTGAAGCATACACTCCGGCATGTCGTCTTTGAGCAAGGTGAACGAACGGGTCGACCTCCCCCTCCGGCTGCAGGTCAGATTGTTGGTCAATTTGTTGGTCAGCCTTTTGCTGTGTGGCCCATGGACAGGCGATTTATGAATATACTCTATCCGCGACTGTTTCAAGGACATTGGCCGTGTTTGGAGAGCATGACCGTCGGAGGAGTGCACTTCAGATGGACTAACGACCTCCTTACCATCAGGGGACCGCGTAGGGGTGATGTTAGGGCTGTTGCTCGGAGGAACGTGCAGACGATGGATCATATTGGCCTAGGTGATCCGCTGGCGGGGGTCATTCGTTAATGGAAGGCAGAATGTCCGTCAACGGAAAAGACATCGTGCCGAACAGAAGCAAGTGGAGCAGGAACGGTGTCTGTCACACTGTGCATTCTATCATCCTAGCGGATTGACACGAGCATAGAAGCTTTGCATACACGAAAGAACCTTGATCCTTGAGGACAGACTGAAGCCAACGCAGTGACGCCTAATAATATCACTATGCCTGCACCACCACGCTGTATGTAACCTTCACCCACCGCAGCACAAACGGTAGGTACTCTGTACAACAACATTCCATAGTCAATGAAAACCTCGTCGTATAAACGTATAGAATCCCAAAATCAGAACCCCAACCCCTACAAGCACCCACCTCGTTATCCGAATAGACGCAGCCAGTCGCTTCTGCCCGTAAGCAGAAAGTAATGCAGCAGGCTCATGCCCCGAGTCCGTCCCTGAGCTCATCATCTCTCGCCTCCGATCTCCAGACTCGGCTCCTATGGCGGAAGACTCCAAAGCGGACGTTGCGACGATGTAGTACCCTGCGAACGTGTCTGCAGAGCCGAGGAGGCCGCACCTCGTGAAGGCTGTGGGGAGTGGGGGAGGGGGACGGCGCTAAGTACGCCGAGGAATGTGGCTAGGAAGCCGATTGTGATAGGGTGGGTGTAGGTGAGTGGTTGGGACATGTGTTGCGAATTCTCATGGCGACGGAGATGTGCAAGTTTGGTGCGGGAGGAGGTTGGTAGGGTCGAAGGAATATAGAAGACGTGACCCCCTCGTTTTTCGAGCCCCTTTGCTCCACTTACCAGCAAGGGATCATGCATGCACCAAGGCTCAGGCCCAATAGCTGGCGAATCCCCAGCAAAACCCCCAGCGAAACCCCCAGCCAGCACAACACCATCTCACATCCCGAGAAGCGGCCGCAAGGCAGTTCCCGCCTTCAAGCAGACAAATCCCTAGAAACCTCGACTTGGTCCACGCTTCTCACCCCGTGCCTCTGCATCTCCTTCTGTTGTTTCTTCCGCTCTCGACGATACTTATCCCTGCTAACGTCAATCTCTATCGCCACCGTTGTCCCCAGGTGTGCGTCTCCTAGCGTTGCTGCGAAGGCCCGTTGAGCGGCTGACTGGGAATCTTGCGGACAGCGGTGTTGTGGGCTTCATCGGTGGTCTTCCTAGTGACGGCGACTGCGGGGTGATGTAGATGTTGTGAAATGCGTAGGATGGTTAAGATTCTAGAACATGAGTAAGATAGCTAGTTTTCATCGGGTCGAGCCTTTGCAACCTCATGGTATTCGGCTTTACGTTCCCATAGGCAAGCCAAGGCGTAAACAGATGAGTTGATTAGAATGGAGCAAGACTTCAAGTCTTGACCATTTAGGCACAACCGAGATGGATCTAACGGATGAAGTATTTCCAGAGGACAAAAAAGCATTGTTTCAGCTGGAGCAAATCTGCGTATGACGATCAGATTCTCATTTATCTGTGCGGCCCAGGACGGCAGAGACCACCGCAGCAAATCCTCCTCCTATTCCACCACAATCCAGTCCATCAACCAGAAAGCATGATACACGTCGTTTTCTCTCGACACTATGTACATCAAGTAACAGCGAGCAACTCTTGGTCCTATAACCTACGACATGATTCTCGTTTTCCTCTCCTCTTTGTGCTTTTTCTCAACCACATCAGCTTCTTCATTACTCTCGCGATCGCCGAACCACATAGCCAGCCACGGAATGTAAATAATGGTGGTAGAAATGAGTCGTGTGAGTATCTGTGAGCTACACCCAATACAAGAGCAGCACCTACGAAGATGGGAATAAGGTTGGGCGGATTCACGGTCAGCTTGAAGGTGCGACGCTGAGCCATGGATTGAAGGTCGTGGTTGTCTGAGTAGGGAAAAGTATGCGTTAGATATACTGGGTCCGAACACAGCCCAGTCAGTAAGACCTGGCAGGATGAATGGAAAACATACCGTATGTTGGTAAAGGAAAAGAGAGCTCAAGCTAGCGTTTGCCAGCCTTCATACCCTCTTTCGTCATGCTTTTATTCTCTTGTGGCGCGACCACAATCTATTCCAGCGAAATGAGAAGCACGTCGGCTTTTTCTTCCAAACGCTTGAGACCCTTCTTTAAGGCGACGATGGTAAGCAGGTATTTCCTTGTGGCAGTTTGGGTTATCTCTCAGAACTCATTTGCTCCTTTGAATGATGTACGGAGAGGCTGGGAGCCCGAAGTTGAAACGTCTTCGGATAGTGAAAGTCAAAATTTTCGCAAGACCTGGGCTTAGCAATACGACAACCGCAAGGGATGTCAACCCGATGGGAGCAAGCGCGAGCAGCTTCGAGACGAGATGCTAGTGGGATTGGCTCCATCCACAGAGCAGACAAGAGGTATAATTGAATCAAAGTAATGCTGGGCTTACGGAAAGCAGGTTGGGCGAGCTCAAATACATAAATCAATACTACAGGTTTCCAACATACACAGGAGCTCAACAGTTTAATGGTCCATCGCATTCACTGCTCCCTGCCGTCCTGCCAGCTCGTACAGTTTACGCAGCGTTGTGCCTAGAAATAATTGTTAACACCGAGCTTCCACGCTCAGTAGGGAAAAGAGCGTCCTACCTTCTCACCAATCCTCTTCCTGCAGTACTTGCATTTAACGGTATGCTTAATGACAGAGTCATTCGACGCCCATCCGTACACAAGTGCAACTGTGTACAGCGCAATACCGATGCCGATGAAGTTGAAGACTTTGTTAATGAAGGTGCTAGACAAGTCAAAAAAGGCGATTGTCAACCCAGTCCGTTGCGGATATACACAGCGAACCTCGTTCCCTTTCGGCGACGACGAACGCGGTTCATCGAAAGAAGAAATCGAAAATAAACATACCCCCAAGACATGATCACGGCTCCATCTTCGAGGGCCAATTTCATCGTATTGTACCCCCGCCCTGCACCCTTGCCATAATGCGGCCCAGCCCTCAGCACCGCGAATTTCTCATCAAAGTTGCGATCGATGAACGGCAGTAGCGAGAGAATGGGAAGAAACACATCCGAGACGAAGGATGTGACGACTGCTGTGAAGGCTGCTGCTAGTCTAGACCGCAGGAGCGAAACTTAGTCCCGAGCCAGACGAAAGCAGAGGAAAAACGAAAAACATGAAGCAGAGAATCCGGCACTGGAATGGCTTACATCAAACCGACGGCTACCTCGAGGACGTTGTCTTGCAGCGCGAAGTCCGAGAAGCCGTTCCAGAAGCGGCCTGCGCGCGTCTTGGCCTTCTGCCCCGCCTGAAGCAGGTGTTGGCGGGTGTCATCAATCTCGAGTTGAGGCATTTCTGTGGTGTTCGAAGGGTATGTGAATGAGATGCGAATGCGATATTCATGGTGGGTGAATGGTTGGATGGGAGGTGCAAATGTTGGCACGCGACGCTACGGCGGACGAGGGCTGACACTACGACAAAACCAAAATCAATTTTTTTCTTTAATTTTTTTTTTCTTCCCGCGACTTTGAGAAAATATTTGAAGAGATTTTCTAAAGAAATATTTTAAAGAAATATTTTAGAGGATTCTTTATGGGGTATATAAGGGGGATTAAAGAGATTATTCGAGGGTATACTTTCGAAGATACTCGAGAAGAGTATTTTAGAGAGTACTTAGAGGGTTACTCGGGGGGTTTCTTAAAGATTTACTCGAGAAACCACTCGAGAAAATATTCGCAGCGAAAAAAGAATTCGCGGTAGTTCCGCGGAAAGGGATGCTTTTAAACCTCAGCCCATGCTAAGAAAAATACCAGTAGCGGGATTACAAGGCCGCGCCAGGTTTGTATGGGGGTCACACCAAAATAAGGCGCGGCCTCGTAGTAACCTCGCTGTCACTATCACACCGTCGCTAGATCTCGCTGTCACCGATGAGGCTATTCGTACAATGGAGGCTCTCCGCCTTCCCGAGGCATACAGGGCGAAAAGGAGACTCGCCGCCACCGGAGCTGGGGATTTCCACGGGGAAGAGGACTTTATCGGTGGTGTTGCCTATATAGTCTAGTCTAATCCTCCCCACTCCACCTCGCTGGCGCCTCTAGCCGGGCTATGCTATGCCCATCGCCGGCGAGCTCCTTCAAGGCCTCTTAAACCCCTTGTTGAAGAATAGGCCCGGTCATTTGGCGTAACATCGCCACCCACTGGGCGGAAATACGCTCCCTTACATCGTCCTCCCAATCCACCATACCCGCCTCCAAATCGTAGAATTTGGCCTTAATCTCATCGAGTACTTCACGAACATCCAATATATGCTTGCTGGGACCGTCAGGTTCATCGTAGATATCTTGACGCGACCTCCGAGGGTATCATAGGCGCGAGTTTGCTGCGTTTGGTCCCCTTTCGCGGCTCTTTCTGCTCATCAAGGCTGACAGAGGCCTTCCGCTTGATAGGGGGGTGGTAGGAGGTAGGGAGGGTGTTGAATGGTGGCGACGGCGATCTAGACGCGTCAGAGTACGTGCCGCGACTCCACTCAGCATCACTAAGGTCACTCTTATCCTTCTCCTACGGCAGGGCTATATCGTCTTCCGAGAGAACCTCTGGCAGAGGACGATCCCGATTAATGCCTTTAGGGTTGCTACCGTATCAATCCAGCTCCTCCTAAGTATCCTCGAAGCCCCCGTATTGCGGGGGCTGGCGAACGACGCGTTCTTAAGAGGTTATAGTGGGCGGGGCGGAGTTGTGGAGCGGAGTTGTGGATAGCTTCAAAAAAATTGGTGGGCGACAGCGAGGTATAGAGAAGAAGAGTGCAACAGGTAAGGAGGGCTGCTAAATTACTATGGGAGGGCCTTACTAATCCGGCGGGTCGGCCTAATCGTTCTCCGGTAATATTACCGTGGGGGTGGGTTGAGGTTTAAAAGCTCCCGCGGAAAGTCCCGTAATTTTTTTTTTTTTTTTTTTTTTTGCGAAGAACTTTATAAAATATCCGTCGTAAGCAGCCGGAAGAGTACCCGGGAGAGTACCCGAGAGAGTACCCCGGAGAGTACCCCGGAGAGTACCTCGAAGAACACCCGGAAGAATACCCCGGAGAGTACCCCGAAGAGTATCCCGGAGAGTACCTCGGAGAGTAGTCCCTAAAGGATGCCTCAAAAAGTACCTCTCGAAGAGTTGAGAATATTCTAAAAAGAATATTTTGAAGAGAGTTACTAGAAATCGCGAAGAAAAAAACGAAAAGAGAATTCTTTTTTGGTTTTGTCGTAGTGTCAGCCGTCGTCCGCCGTAGACGCGGCTGGCAGGCTACAGGATGCCGGCGCTTGGAGGATCAAGTGGGCTATGAGAGAGAGATACGATGTTGGTTTCAGAGTCCTACAAGATTTCGATCGAGCTTTTTATGAACAACTGCTTGTGAACTACAATATTGAATGCGAGATTGGTCGAAAAGGCTCTTTCGGAGACCTTCTGTGACTGTCTGAGCGAAACAGTCACGTGATTCGCAACGGCTGCCATAGAAAAGTCTGTTGTATCATTTTGAGTCTTTTCCTTATATGTTTCACTATGGAGCCGACGAATGAGATAAGAGTAGATCCTTCCATTTTTTTCCCTATTGGGCGAAGACAGACCCAACGTGTCCATCCGGGAGCCCTTCCATGATGCTTCTTCAATCAGCTTCACGAACAGCAGTTGCCAGCCCTCAAGACCAACACGCCACCTCTAAACTGCCAGAAAGTTGTTTCAATATCACTGATTATACTTGCTCTCCCCTGCTCATGTTTCGAAGACCACCGTCACTATAATATTCTCGGACGCCTGAACCATTGTCCACAGGGCGAAGCCAATCACAAAAATCCATATCGTAACCGCAAAAGCCAGAGCCGCAAGGATCCTCAACCTTTCTGCAAAGGGCATATGATTGAATATCCTCCCGGTTTCTTTGTCGATGGTGATTCTTGGGATCTCTCTGACCATCTGGGATGGAACGATGATCGCAAGTGCGGAGACCTCTGATTCTTTTCCACAGTTCTGGATATCATCCTCATCCTCTTCAATGTCTTTCCAATCATGTTGCTCGTTCTTGTCCTCTCCGTTTTCCTCTTCGTCAACTGCAGAATCCATAAAGTCTGCATCTTCTTCCTTTTCGGGACCATCGTCATCACTCTTCTCCTCTATCTGGTCTGTCTCCTCGGCCACAAGGTCTTTTGTATTCAGTTCTCTCTCCTGGTGACTGTCTTTCTGCTCCGTACGCGCGCCTTGAACAGTTAGAGCCAAACCTAGACCCAGCAACACCAGCTTCATGCTCCATGGACTGCCAGGTGTCTTGTTTAAGACGAGAGCCATGCTCGGCGTTCAGTCCTGAGAATTTTCTTTAAGACAGGCACAGATCCACTGACGAGAGCTCCAAAGTGTGAATTGTCGCAAAGTATAGTCAATAAGTGGTCGCCAGCAGTAAAAAGTGAAGCGAAGAAGAGATAATTTGTAATGGTAGGAGTGAACGAAATGCGAATTTTCATGCGTGGGCAAAAGGAGTCGCTAGAAAATTCAGCCGGCCAAGCATCCACCACATCTGGCCAGACTGATCTCTGCAATTACCAAAAAGTTTCACTACGAGCAATTGAAGAACACAGCAGGCAACTCGGAAACGGTCTAGCGTATTCGATGTACCGTATCATAGCTTTCTGAATAATACTGTCTAGCTTGCATTTGTATACACTACTTGCACGCTCGGGTCGTCTTGGATTCGACCTATAGGGAACGGACGTCAGCCTACATTGAATGGACGGATGTGGTTGCAACCACCTAGAAAGCTGTCGAGCATCTCGGGAGATGCCACATCGACCATCATATCCTCTTTGGGATCCCAAACAATATCCAGACTCTCAACCTTCAACCCTGAAGAATTGACCAAATTCTCCGCGACTGCCGTTGTCTGGCTCGATTCGGCATAGACGACCACTTTGCCCTCGTCTTCCATTTGTACATCAATAGCCCCTGCTTCTATTGCATGATCGAAGATCTCTTCTTCTCCAATATCTTTAGATCCTTCGAATACGATCTTTCCCTTTCTGTCGAACATGTGGCTGGTGGGTGTCATGGACCCACCAGACTCTTTGATAGCTAACTTCATGTCGCCCAGAGTCCGCGCTTTGGAGTCCGTTTGGCATTCCACGATAACAGCGACCGAAGGTGGAAGCATTGCTTCTATAGTCAGAGATTCCAAGGCAGCTCCCGTGGGCGAACGGCCTTGTCCTCTTGCAATTGCATTCTCGATGGAGGCTTTAGGGAAACCTTGCTTTTTGGCCGCGGTGATTACTGTAGCGAGGCGAGGGTTGAACTGAGGGTCTGCTCCATATTGCTTTGAGGCGAGCTGGAGATCTTGCGTTAAAGTAGAGCGCTGCTTGGTCACCGAAGCCTAGTAGGCGTGGTCAGTTGTTTCCTCTTCACTAACTCCTGTTGACTGGGTACATACATCTACTTTCGCCTTGTCATGCTTGATCTTGGACCATCGACTGTGTCCAGAATATAGGCTGCTTGTCAGTGAGAAGCACCGACTTCCTCGCAACTGGAGGGTCATGCATGTTCTTACCCCAGTCATGAACAGTTGCTTGTACGAGCGCTATTGCCTTGGAAAGGGAAATTTCTTTAGCGTCGCGTCCATATGAACTCTCAGCCTTACTCGTACCGTGACCACGAGTGGTCCCTCGATCCTTGGGAGACCCAAATGCAAAAGGGCACCAGGGGATAAATAACAAATCTTTGCGCAAATTGACCCTTATGTCAAACCGCCCGAACGGTAGCCCAGCTCCAATCACTAATGGCAGTGCCGAAAACTCTGAAAAGGGAGGACTTCCCCCAAAGATTCGACTCGACGTCCCCAAGTTGCACTCCCTGCCCTCAGAACAGCAGGACCTCTACCTCTTCACCTTTACCGTCGAGCTCGAGAAATATGCGAGTTCGCTGGAGTACGAGGCACTATGTGCCCAGCAAACGGATTTGACCAAGGAAACGCTCCAGATTATTAATCTATCCTCTCCAATACCCTCCAAGGCTGTTAGGAACAATCTGGGACGATGTTACGCCATCATATTGGGCAAAGGCAACAGGAAGACGCTTTTCGAGTCGGTTGATCAGCTAATCGCTGTGGCCAACGCAGGCAAGGGCGAGAGAGAACTCCACAATAAGCATGCCGCCGTTCATTGCCTCGGAGAAATCTACAACGCCGCTGGGGACAGTGCGATCAATCTCTCGAGTCTAGTGTGCTCGAGTCTACTTCGCCTTTTGAAAGCTGCACAAAGTCATGCAGGGTTACGGGCAGCTATATTTCAGGCTCTTGGAAAAGTGGTTGGAATGATTCAGGGTTCGATTGAAGACTCAATTGCGAGGGACATTTGGAAAGCTGGAAGAACAGCAGCTTCGGGAGATAAGGCAGCTTTGGTACAAGCGAGAGCATGCCATTGCCTGCAAAAGCTGATATCCTACACAAACTGTTTCGAGACAACTGGTGACTTTGAAAACTTGAAGGCTGCGATCTGGAAAGCATTTGAAACGTCCGCTCCTGCTACTCGACATGCTGCCGCTTCCTGTCTTACTTCGGCGCTTATCAAATCCTATTCGGAGGACGCTCTCTCGAAATCGTCTACGAAAGTCCGGAAACCGAAGAAAGTCAATAGGAACCAGGCTGTATTGGAAGAGGCAGAGGAAGAGATCACAAGGCCAGGGTCCCCTTCAGGGAAGAAGACCGCCATGAAGCTAGAACTCTCTCTTTCAGACATTTTCAGACAACTCTCGTCACAGTATCACCGCTCGACTACCAGCAATAGGCTCAGAGCAGGTATTGCGCACTGCTACATAAAAGTCCTCAGCGGCTTGAACGCCTCAACCGTCGAGACAAACTATGGTCAGATTATGAATCACCTTATGGCCGAGCTTTTGAGCAATGCATCAGTTACCCACGATCGTTACCGGCTATTACTGACGCGAAGATATGTGCAAAAGATCTTGGCCGACTGTATTGGTTCCAGAATCCTTGGTGAGACCGGGCGGCTCAACGCAGCAAGGACTTTAATCAACGATGTGCTCAAGAACTACCCTCAAGTCCTGAAAGAAGTACCGGAGCCGTCAAAACATACTCTCGTTGGCGTTCTGGATGCTCTGGCTTCACTTATCAAGTCATTGGGAGCGGCTTTCACTTCCCTCGGCGACAGCTGTCGGGAGGCTCTTGTCCAGGTCTTGCAGCACCCAAGTTACACAGTGCAGATCCATGCTTCTCATTGTCTGCGTGCTTTTGTGATGGCATGCCCACAACAGCTGCTATCCTGTGCTTCCATTTGCATGAACAGTGTCAACAGAGAACTCAATTTATTGACTACTGTTCGCCAATCCCCTCGTCGCTGCGTCGGATATGCTAATGGGCTTGCGGCGGTCCTGAGCATATCGCCCTCGCAGCCACTTTACAGTTCACTCGAGATTAGCTCGCGCGTTTTGTCCACCGCTATCGATCTACTCAAATCAAGCAGTAAAGCCGAGCTACGTGTGGCCGGTACTCAAGTTCAAGTCTCTTGGATCCTGATAGGCGGTCTCATGGCGCTAGGGCCAAATTTCGTCAAGATCCACTTGTCGCAGTTCCTATTGCTTTGGCGAAACGCGCTGCCGAAGCCGCTGACAAGAGAGAACACTGCGCAGCGGCAGTCTTCAGAGATTACTTATCTAACCCACGTTCGGGAATGTACTTTAGGATCTATACTTTCATTCCTTGAGTTTAATGGCAGACTGATAACAACTGATGTCGCCAAACGAATTGCGACCATGCTGCAAAATACTGTCGAATACTTGGAGAATTTACCACGCAAGAAGCTCATCGAGGACGCGTCCCAAAAGCTGTTCTTTTCACTGCAACTACAAGACCTGGTTCTGATGGTCCGTCGGAGGGTCCTCCAGTGTTATTCAAGATTGATCAGCTTCAGTCCCCAAGCTAGCGGCGAGATTCTCACACAATCGAACCTTTTGACACTCGCCGTGACGCTGTTAGCAGATCCAGAAAGCTATGCACCGGGGACCCTTGGCTCGTCCATTGCAAATGCTGCAGGCACATTTGAGAGTATTTGGGAGGTCGCAGACAATTCTGGCTTTGGTATCACAGGTCTAGTCCGCGGGCCACTCATCAAGGCACTACCAGGAGAGCACAGCACCGCGCAACACGTTCGTTGGCGACATCATGGCGATGACTTTTCGGATATTGACGAGACGGTACGTTGGCTGTGCAAGTCTCCCTTTCGGGTAACTCGCTGACAAAGCTTGGCTAGCTCATGGGTCCAATTTGCGGTGCACAAGAACATGACTCGGTATGCCTCTATACCAGTTCCGAGGACCAGGCCGAAAGTCTGCCAGATCCACCGGCGACTGAGGTCGTTAATTCTGCTATCGTTCTCTTCGCCACAGCGTTTCCGCTCCACAGCTCAAGAGTTCAAGAAGGGGTACTAGAGCAGTTGGCTACTTTCTTGACGTCTACGAGCCTTCAACGAGATCCTGGGAGAAAAGCAGCTGTTGCTGTCAATACTGCTATGGCCTTGTTGAGCGCGCTCAAGGTCGCCGTTGGTGAGACTATGGCTGAACATGGGGATCTCAAGCATCCCACAGTCGAAAAAAGCATAGAGGAAATATTAAGAGTATGTCCACAGCACGGCTCCTGGTTTTACGCAGTCTGTATTAACGGCAGCCTAGGGCTTGGTGATTGACCAGGATCGTTCCATCCGGTTCGTTGCTTATGAGGCCATAGGGAGACTCTGCAACAGTTCTGGAAATACTTTTACCGCGAACGAGGTCAATACGTTGATCGATATTATTGTTACCAACAGAGATCCCAATGCTCGTGCCGGATGTGCAATGGCTCTAGGGTCCATACATGCTCAAGTCGGAGGAATGGCAGCAGGCTTCCATCTGAAGAAGATTCATGGAGTGTTGATGTCACTGTGCAGCGACCCGAACCCAACCGTGCATTTCTGCGCAATCGAAGCTCTATCTCAGGTTGCTGACTCCGCCGGCCTGACATTTTCAGGATACGTCGCTAGCACACTGGGCCTACTGGCTCAGATATGGACATGTGACAGCCACAACGAAGAGTCGGCTCTGACAGCATCTTCCAATCTCGAAATTGCCTGGCCTAGCGCTACAGTAGTTGCACACAGCATCGATTCTCTTGTCAACGTCCTTGGTCCTGATCTTCAAGACATGAACAAAGCAAGGGAACTCATGCTCATTCTCATGAAACAATTTGCGGAAGACGATCTGGCCGTTGTCCAAGCAGAGTGCTTACGCGCTTGGGAGCACATGTACCTCTATGATTCCGGGCATGTCGACTTGACAGCTTATGTGCGTCGTTTGCAAGATAAACTTGAGTCAACCAACAGCATCGTTCGGAAGGTGTCTGTGGATGGGCTCTACAATCTCATGCGAAGGGATGCCGAATATACCCTCGCGGTTGCCAATGAAGGGTTAGAAGATCAGCTGTGGCTCGCATTGAACGAGAAGCCCGGAGAGGAAGGTATCCGCAATCTCGTTCAGTCTTGGCTTGGTCAGTCAGGCCTGACTGAAGCCGAGAAGTGGGTCTCGCGTTGCCAGCATGTCCTTACTAAGGCGGCAAAATCTCAACCTGACCCCGCTTCAGCCACAGAACCCAAGTCTGCAGCGCCAGATTTGCAAGATGAGGAAGTAGCTGGATTCGCCTCAGGGGATGGGAAAGACCAGAACGGCGCTCCGGTGCCTTCAGCAACTCAGGAGCTGCTGAGATGGCAGACACGAGCTTTTGCATTGCAATGTTTGAGTGATTTAGCGGCCATGATCGGTAAAGAAATGGAATCAGACCCGGACTCAGCAGCTGGTCATGCCTTACAGGATAAGATCGCAGAGGTGATCCGTTTGGCGTTTCTAGCATCGACAGCCTCGGTCGTTGAATTGCAGGTTGGAGGCCTGCAACTGATTGATCAAGTCCTGAAGGTATGACAATCTGAGAACCCTTAGCCTATGGCATTTATTAAGTCAATCAGATATTCGGGACCATGCCAGACCCTGATTTCTCGGAGGCCCTTCTACTCGAGCAGTACCAAGCCCAAGTCAGCTCCGCATTGACACCAGCTTTTGGTGCGGACTCATCGCCTGATCTCGCTTCAGCAGCAGTAGATGTATGCGCAACCTTCATTGCTACCGGCCTCGTTACCGATGTCGATCGCATGGGTAGGATTCTGAAGCTTTTAGTGACAGCATTGGAAAGCTTTACAGGTAAGTCAATAGTTGTGTTGCAAAAATTCTTGCTAATGAAGACTAGATGATGCTCAGGACTCTGCGATTGGCGAATTGCGTGGTCTCAGTCCCAATGCGCAAATTATGGTCAGGATGGCAGTGCTGTCTGCATGGGCCGAGTTACAAGTTGCTAGTACTGAACAAGAGTACCTCGTGAAAGTAATGCAGCCACATGTGGCCAAGCTTACTCCGCTGTGGCTCTCATCATTGCAGGAATTTGCGCGCTTGAGGTTTGAGCCAGACATCTCTAATTCCATGGGGCCAGCCAGACCAGACGAAGGTCTTGATGTGGTATATGCCGCGTTCAATCGGCAGACATTACTCAAGGTAGGCCAAGATTATCCGGTTGTTTGATAGATTGTTGCTGATGAATGAGAAAGTTCTACCAAGACTCATGGCTCAAGCTCGTCGACGCTATTGCCAGTCTGATTGATCAGGACAGCGACTTTGTTTTCGACGCGCTGGATGGCAAGTCAAGCACTCCTAAGACCAACGGCACTGTTACCACAAAACATGACATCGACTACCGCGACGAACCTGCTGCCTTCTTCTTCGTTCTTTTTGGTATTGTGATCGAGGCATTAACCACTAGGCCTGGTAGCGGCTCAGAATTGCAAACCCTAGAGGTTCTTTCGGCGCTCAAAAGGATACTTCAACCATCTGTCTCTGGCAATGCGGTCTTCCAAGACGCTGTGTTTGCAGAGACTATGGAGCTCTTCGATCGATTGGCCCTTACTGAAGGTCTCGATGTCCAAATTATCATTGTCGATGTTGTGAGAAACATGTGTCTCACGCACCCATCTGCGAGAGGGGAAGATAACAACGGAGAGCATCTATCAGATGATATCGAGCAGCTCTTTGAGCTGACAAGAATCATCGTTCTGGTCCTTGCAGGCGTCTTGCCAAATCTTGGAGAGCGCAACCCTTCAATCAGGCCACAGCTCCCCGATGAAGCAGTGTCGGTGATCCAGAAGTCACTAGAATCCCTGGTAGATGCTTCTGAGATATTCCCCTCCATCATTAAAACCGACCTCCACGCCAGCATCCTCCACATCTTTGCCACTATCCTCAGCACCGGTGCCTGCCAGGCTAAGGTGGTCCCCCAAGCCTTTCCGATCTTCAAACGTTTCCTTCAAACTGTTGCAACCGCCGCTACAGTGGCAGCCAGCTCTGATTTGATCCGTGGCTGTCTCCATCGATTTCTCTCAATTCTCTCGCACGCTCAGCGCCGCGAATCGGAAACCTCGCTTCCATGCGCCAAGAACACCCTTCTCGCCTGTACCATACTTCTCACCAACGCGTCACGTTCTCTGGCCCCTAACGATCCTCTCATCACACGTATATTAGATGAAATGCTCGGCTGCCTCCGGGATCTCGGTCTCGCCAAGGTCGTTGCAAGTTGCCTTCGCTCTCTTATGATGGTCAGCCCCAAAAGCGAGACCGACGAGTCAATCGCACGATACATCTTCCCACGTCTACTTCTCTTCACAGCAGACACAGAACTACCAGATCCGGAGAACGCACGCTCACTCACCGCGCACGCTCTCACATCTTTCGTTACGACTACTTCAGGCGACGCATCCTCAGCTGCAATGTGCATCATCATCCCGATGCTTCTGACCCGCGCCTCAGCTGAGGGCAAGGCTGTCTACCTCGAAACCTCGAAAAGACTGCTCGAACTAGCAGGTGGCAATCTAACGCCTATGTTCAGGGGTGTGGTGGCCAAGATGAGCGCCGGACAAAGAACCTTTATGGAGACCGTCATTCGAGAAGGTGGGGGAGCAGGGAGAAGCACCGGCGGGAATAGGGAGAGCGCTGCAGAGACGGAACCCAGCATTGCGCTCAAGTTGAATTTTGGAGGAAGATGAATTGGCAAAAGATGGCTTGTTTGTCTCGTATTTTGGCATCATGTTGTGGCGCCGTGTACATCTTAATTGGGCATGTTTTAGCGGAGCATTGGTTTGGGAAGTCCATTGCCATTGGACTGCAATTGGTGGACATAGGCTTCTCGTCGAGTGACTGGGGTATATACGCTGCATAGTCGTCCAATAGATCCATGACTGCTTCTCGTCCGTCCATCTCATCTACCCCAACGAAACATACCCAACATTCTCACTCTTATCACCCATGCCGCCCTTCTCCTCTGTCCCAGTCTGCGTCCCCATCTCCCGACTCGGCACCGTAAAACTGCCGCCCGCACTCCCACTACTCGTCCCCGTCCCCGAACTCTGCGATTGAGCCCCTTTCTTCCTCTCCTCAATGTCCCTCTCGTGCATCTTATAACTACTATACCTCAAACTCCCCAGTATCAAAACCGCCATCAGCCCGATCGCCATCGCCGCCCTCCTCGTCAACACCCATCTCAGGCCCTCCACCTCGCTCTTCTGCTCTGACCCAAGCACGACACTGATTTTGTAATTCAACTCGCTGATCTCTCCGTCGCGGGTCTGGCTCTGCATGCGCACGGCCATGCGGCGGTCGTTGAGCATGCCCCGGAGGTCGTCTTTGAGGCTCAGTGCTTCTTGGGAGACGCGCTGGGAGAGGATGTCATAGGTGTGTTGGAGGTGGGAGAGCTGGGTGCGGGTGTGGGTGGAGCTGCTTTTGCGGGTGTTGAGGATTTCGGTGCGCAGTTCGGAGCAGGCGGCGCGGAAAAGGTAGGTTTCCTTTATTTGGTCACGAGGGTTAGCGAGGATGTTACCTTTGGGGTGGGTGGGAAGATATGTGCAGAAGGCGGTTGGGGGAAATTACGTTCTCGACGTCAGACTTTGAAACCAAGCCTTCCTTAGCCACATCTAAGTTTATCGCCAACTGCCCCCTCACGGCCTTCATAATGGTTACGCTCTGCTCCTCACTAAACCCTCCCCCCTCCAGATCCTTCACGAGCGTAAAGGTATCGAAATGGTGCACATACGGCGGCGCCTGCAGATGCGGCGCTTTATGCTCTTCTGGCTTCTCGACCGCCGGGGCGCCCATTTGCAGAACGGTTTCGAGCGGCTTGGCGGTGCGGGTTTTGCTGTCGTTAATGGATTCGGGGGATGTTTGTTTGGGGTGAGGCTCCGAGGCGTCGAGTTCGGTGGCACGGGTTGAGGGGTCACGCATCGAGGTTGTGATTGCAGCGTCGCGGGACGCGTCTGGTAACACTTTGTTGTCGTCTTTGGGTTCTGGCGTTGCCTTTTTCTCGGATTCTTTTGATGGAGGGGCTTGGATTTTGTTTTCCTCGGGTTTGGTGTCCCTCTTCACTTCTTTCTCGATGGCACTAGCTAGAGATTTCTCCTCTTGGGGTTTCGTGGGCATGCCGGGGGGTGGTTGAGGTTCGGCGGCCGTGCCATAGCGTTGGGCGTAGGTTTCTTGTCTGCGGGTTCGCGTGGTGCTGATGCCTGCTTTTTGGAAGGGCTGTTGGGAAGCACGTCGGGGCTTGAATGTGAGACCTGCCTTGTGGAATCTTGCTGGGTTGAAGAGGTGAGGGTAGAGGAAGATCAGGCGTGGGACAGACATGTTGATGAGTCCCAGTTCTGGAGGTGAAGCAAAAGGACAAGGGTTGGGATGGAGAGAGAACATTTCCGGACTAGCGGCACGATATCGGAAGCTGCCGCTCAGCCGTCAGCCTTATCAAAAGCTTATCATCTACCCAGGAGCTAGGTAGGTACAAGGGTCGATAACATTAATCCACAGTCCCCGTCAAAAGTCATCATCCCCCGAGGTTTACCCGGCTACTGCTGGCTTCCCACTAAAACACTACCATAGATACTTCTAAATAGTGATCAATGGAGCATAGTATACCCCCTCACACCCCTATACGCAGTTTATATCGTTATGAGACTACTACGCGTAAGAAAGCTAAGTTCTTTAAAGCCGTCGACACTTATAATAGTAAAAAAATAATTAAAGATATATATTTAGATAAGAATATTCTATATAGTATAGAGAAGACTTAGCTACGAATTAGAAAGTTTAAAAGCTTTCTCGATACTAAAAGACTTAAAAAATAATATTCTAAACGTTCTTCTAAGATTAATTAATTTATATATAATACTTTACGTAATATTAATAATTCTATATATAATTAGAAGCTCGAGCGTTAACTTTAATACTATAAAATTCTAATTAATTCTCAAATTATATATCGTAATACTTAGAAATATATTAATAATACTTATATATATAAATAACGTATAATTAAATAAATATCTAAAAAGAATATTAAGAAGCGATTAATATACGAAAATAATTATAAGAGAAATATTATTAAGGATTTTTAATACTATATTAATTAAACGAATAAGAAATATTAGAATCTAGGATTTATAAAATTTAATTATATATTTTAAGATGTAGATACTTCTATAGAGTCTAAAAATACGTAATTAATATCCTCTCTTCAGAATATCAAGATTTATATCTTAGCGAATATCTCGTAATATTATAAAGATAAGCTTTAATTCTATTATAACAAGCTCGATTAATCTCAAATTATAGTCGAAAAGCCTTTAAAGCTACGTCGATGTTCTAAAAATAAAAATAAAGAGAAGTATAAAGAGCGTATTCGTTAGTGAAAAGCGAGTATTCCTTATAATCTTAATATTTAATAGTCTAAAAATAATATAATAATAGAATACTATATTAAATATTAGCTTTCGAATTATTATAAGTCTATTAATTAACTATAAATTATATCTAAATATAGAATTCTATAGAAAAATAATAATAAGAGTTATAAAATTATTTATAATAAGAAGAATAAGACTTTAAAAGTCGAAAATATCGTAACTTAGCTTAAATATAATAATTAAATTAAGACTCTAATATATTCTACTTAATCGTCGAATTTAAATTCTATCGAGGGTATCTAAAATCTTCTTAATAAATATATATATTAAAGATATTAATATATATAATAAGAGTTTCGCACGATAATTTAGAAGAAGTGAAATTATATTACTCTCGAGGAAATTAAAACTAGAATTACGAAGATATTATAGTGATATTAAATACTACGAGAGGATAACTCTTCTAAGTTAATCAAGTCGGATTTATGATAAATTCTCCATAGAAATATATGTAATAATCGTGGGAAGCCAGTAGTAGCCGGGTAAACCTCGGGGGATGATGACTTTTGACGGGGACTGTGATCCGCGCTGTAAGAAAAGTGCTCCTTAGTCTCACCTACCCAACTGTGAAGATGAAATCTCCAATAGAGTACGAAGAGAAAAATTGGAGGTTGAACCATAGTCCCAAGAGTACATCATCCTAGTTCTGCACATTTATGTCCTATGTGTGATGGAAGAATATTGAGAATCAGAGACTTTGATGGTTCTGGCATTGACAATCGATTTCGATCAATCTGGATAAATGGACGAGTTTCTACGGTGGTGATAAGATTAGTATTTCGCTGTGGACATACAAAGACAGCTTCGTGTTTGACGACTTGGGCGTGTTTGATAGGTGCTTTCGTCTGCCAGAGTTGCTAGAGGAACTTTCAGAGCCCCATTCGCAGCAGATCCTGGATCAAGCATTCGACTGTGACACCATTTTTGGGGGTCTATGTAAGGCCTGTGACCCATTGCCCCATGGTTGGACGCGAATAGCCTGAGTATCTTGTGTGGAAAGCGTGGGTTTTGATTTCTCTCACAAAAATGAATGCAAGCTCTAGACTCAAAGGTTTCACGTCCTCCGCTCAATGATGCAACGGCGTACCTTGGCGTTTGTATTTTCGCTTTCTGTCTTACTCAAGACCCGCACAGCCAACATGGTGTCAAGCCCCTCATTTTCGAAAATTGTCCTATCAAAATGTCATGGACCACGCGTTCCTCGCGCCGCTTGCCTTACCATTCATGTCTGTTTCTTTCAGCCGCATTTCGCACCTTCCACCACACCAAGTCAATGCCTGCCTTCCTAAAGGGGGCCCCCATGTCACCATCGAACTTGTCATCGACCTCCATGCCGAAACCTCTCAAACGTGGCAGTCTCGACTGCTTGAGTTCCGGAAGTCCTTCCGTAATAGCCATTGCCTCCATTTTCCCGCGCAAAGGATAGGCCAAGTCCACAATCTCGATCGAAGCGGGCAAGAGGTCTACGAGGCGATGGATTTTCTTCTCGGTACTGCCGTGTTTCAAAATTTAAAGTTCCAGGTCCAAGGTATTTGGCCGATAGGTCTTCGTGGCGTTATAATTTGGCATAGGAGGGTTCTCGATGAACCAAGCTCGGTTGTTCGGCGAGCCTTCATAGCTGTATAGAAATGTTTGGAGCGCTTTGGTTCTGGAAAGAAGATATTTGAGTATCTTCACATCGATGTCACTTCTCGTGAAGTTAATTTATGTGAGTTCTGTGCCTGAGTATGGTTTGGACCGCTTGGAGCAGTGTCCAATTGAAGCTTCTCCGCAAAGACGACGCAAGGATGGCAGGCCAGCGACAATTGGCAGCCATTGGGGCAGCGAGGCCCCAAAATCACCGTTCCTGGTGTCCCGACGATCCAACCTTAGGTGAGACAATTGGCTGAGAGGAGTAGTGGGGTTTTGCTTATGCCTTCGGTGTGCGGCAGCGATGGTTGAGATCAGCCGCTCCAAAGAACCGAGACTCCCGACTGAGTCAGATATCGTGATCGACTTCAGGTTTGGGAGATAGAGGACGAGTAGTGCGACAACGGTCGATTCCCTGCCATCGAAGATTTCTCGTATCCAACTCTGTCGCACTTCGCGTTCGATGTAAGGACACGTGTCGATCTTAACCAGAGTTGAATCTCGGCAGTCAGCAACGGCCGCCGCGGTCACATCCTGCTTGTCCCACTGCTACGTACCAGACCAATTTAAAGGTCTTTCATGGCATTCATTGATGCGGATCTTGGCAGGATACCGTGCAAGAGTGTCATTGTGGATAATTGCTCTCAAACAGAGGCCGGTATCTATCGTTTGGTGATTGTAGCCTCGCCGAGGAGATGTTCCAAATGCAAGCTCTTTCATCTCCTTGTACGCCTGCAATACGCCCACGGACAGCGAGCGAATGTGTTTGTGGCATGATGAGAATGTTACGATGTCTTCGACATGAACCAAGTCAATGATCGGCATCACGATATCATTGGGCAAGTCGATAAGTGATGTCAGGACAGCAAGGGTACCAGCTTAATGGGTACCTATGTAGATTATAAGTGCTAGAGAAAAGAACGAGGTTCGTAGCCGAGGATTGAATGGACAAGATTTTGGTCAACACAGCGCCTTGGTCAGCACCGCAGTTTATCCTTGACACTTGATTAAGAATGAAAATAATCGGTAGTTTTGGGCGAACACTTTACGGCCTTGAGTTGTAGGGCGGGCTAAGTGGCGTCGACTGTCGAGACTGAGAGGTCAAACAAAACCAAGAAGCCAACCATGCCGAGGTCAGCATTGTTGTAGCGAACGAGCCACAGCACAGCGCCCGTAACAAAATCATGCATACACTTATCATCTGGTCTGGAACTCTAACGCACTCGCTCGAGACCTGGTGAAGCCCATGTGATTGAACGGAGGCGATCTTTACCTCCACCTTTCTTTCGAGCAATTCTCGACGACCTATCACGCATTTATAACCACCTCACTACCTCGTCTTTACGGCTTAGTCCCTCGGGCTTGCTAGCCTGGCCTACAGCCACAGCCACCTGCTTGATCGGCCGCAACATGCCTTACGTAGGACTACGGCGAGGTCGTGATGATGCACGAGGGTACGATTCTAGAGGGTTCTTACGTAGCGTATGCGAAATTGTAAACACTGTTTCCTTCACCGCATCCGGAGCTCCCCAAGGCGTTCTTGTTCGCTTCACTATTGGTTGCTCGGTTTGAACATTGCTGGCTTTTCGATACTTCTTTGATGTACGCATTGGTGATATAATGCCGCAAGTTTCGCTCTTCTCTCCCTGGCTCTATCATGCTCATCGATAAGAAAGGGCAATTTTGGGATAGAGACCTTGATGGAAAACCATTCAAGATTCTCTTTTGATCTGTCCGAAAAGTTCACGAGGCGTTAGATCTTTGTGTGTGATGAAGCGCTGATGAGGACGTGGACGTAACATTGAATGGGTGGGATGTAGGATGAAGGCGTAAAGTACTGACGTTATTGCATTTGCGGAGCGAATACCTGACTCAGTGAACTTGAGTAGTCCCTGAGTTCGTGTGATTACATCGGCAACTTTTAGGTGGCACGCTCCGTATACCCAGCTCTTTGAGGAGAATTCGCCATCCTGTATAATAATCATTAGAAGTTCATGTACTTTTACAGTCGTTTGCTTTTTCACCAATCTGATTCATCTCACGTTGCTCCAACGCAAGCTCCAACAAGTAATGAGAGTTTACCATGCCCAAATCCCTCGCTTCTGCATATAATGGTGTCAAAATTTTACTATTCGCCATAAAAGGAGCCAGTGACGGAAGAGTTCCAAGAGCCAAGGGTCTTGTGAAAGTTTCAGGCCCATTCGTTGGCTGGTTTGCGAGCGCGATAGCCACCTCAATGCGCTCCTGTAAGGGCTTTTC